GGAGCAGGTGGAGAATCAAGGCCATCCACAGCCCCTCCAAGGCGTGCCCCTGATGACCTATGACCTCTCAGCAGTATCATGATGGGGCACCAAGCCATTAACCATGGGCTTTTGAGAACATCATTCAAACCCTGGTAACCAGTATCAGAAGGAACTGGCTGCAGCCCTGGAGCCCTTGGGGAGAGCTGCATACACTGTGCTCATGCAGTGCCCAATGATCCAAAGCCAGGCATACCACATCAATCAATCAAGCCAGGCAGTGGCCCACACCTTTCATCCCAGCACTCAGGAGGCAGAGGCAGGCGGATCTCCTGGTCTCCGTGAGTCCAGGCAAGCCTGGGCTGGTCGATAGAGTGAATTCCGGGACAGCCCAGGCTAAATAGAGAAATCCTGTCTCTCAAAAAAAGAAAAGAGCCGGGCTTTCGTGGCACACACCTTTAATCCCAGCACTCGGGAGGCAGAGACAGGCGGATCTCTGTGAGTTCGAGGTCTATAGAGCGAGTTCCAGACTCCAAAATAATACAGGCTCCAAAACAAGACAGAGAAACCCTGTCTCGTAAAACCAAAAAAGAAAAGAAAAAAGGAGATGCCCGCTGGCCAATCTGGTGGAGGTATTGTCTCAGCTGAGGCACCCCTTTCCCAGATGACTCTAATTGTGTCAAGCTGACGTAAAACTAGTCAGCACTCAAAGTCAATAGCAAAAAACTAAACCACCCCCACCTCCCCGAATTAGGAATAAGCAAAGGGTCCCCATGTGTCCCACCGATTCTCAACACTGAACTAGAAGTCCTGACCAGATCAACTAGGCAAGAAAACAAGACAGAGTCCAACTAGAAAAGAAAACATAAAACGTTCTATTCCAGATGTACAATATGAGCCTTTGTAGAAAAATATCCAAGAGGGGTTGGAGAGATGGTTCAGCGGTTAAGAGGGCTGGCTGCTCTTCCAGAGAGAGGTCCTGAGTACAATTCCCAGCAACCACGTTAGCTCACAACCATCTGTAATTCAGGCATGCATGCAAATAGAGCTCTCATATACATAAGCTTTAAAAAAAGAAAAATATCAAAGAATTCCTACACGTACATGAAGGTGTGCCTAATCCAGCAAAACCACAGGAAACAGGACTAATGAGTCTATCTCCACATTACCCACGGGACAGAAGTCACAAAATTCCACTTATAGGAGAAACACTTCGGGACAACCAGAGCCAAGAACACTCGACATCCATACTTCAAAAAACCTAGGTTCAATCCCCAACATGACTGAAAAAAGCAGGGCACAACCTTGTGTTCATGGGTGGACAGGCACAATAGTGCCACGATAGACTGTCCCCCAATAGACTCACTGCAATCGTTATTAGTAATCAAAACCACCAGGGCTGCAGAGACGGCTCAATGGTTAAGAGCACTGGCTGCTCTTGTAGAGGACCTGGGTTCGATTCCCAGCACCCACATGGTGACTCACAGCCATCTAGGACTCCAGTTCTAGGGGATCTGACGGTACCTCTTCCCACCTCCTCCCATGCTGCACGCACGATGCACATACATACAGACATACACACAAACATGTATGCATGCATGTAAAATGCCCACACATATAAACTTAATTAAGTAAAATTTTAAAATATTCCCAACTACCTGGAATGGACAGGCTAACAGTAAAAACTATCAAAATCTAGGTGATAGCCACAACAATCAATCCTGAAAACAAGCTAAATTGAAGACTCATACCTCCCAATTTCAAAAGTTAATTATAGTCATAAAAATGTTAGTTTACTGGCTTAAGGATGAATATATAGACCAGTGGACTACAAAGGCCAAAAATAAACACGCACACTTTTTTTTTATTTTTGAGAAACTATCCTTGGCCTTAAGGGATTCTTCTGCCTTGGTCCTCCAAAGAGCTGGGGTACAGCCACAGCACAGTACTCACCCCAGTTAGTTCTCACTTGATTAGAATGCCAACAGCAGCTCCAACAGTGGTACTGAGAACGCTGTATCCACATGAGAGAATAACCCTCCTTCACACTGCCCCACCTCACACCAATACAAACTTTAGATCCTTAGTGAGTTAAACACCAAGCCAGGCACTGGTGGCGCACACCTTTAAATCCCAGCACTCGGGAGGCATAGGCAGGCAGATTTCTATGACTTTGAAGCCAGATTGATCTATAGAGCCAGTTTCAGGACAGCCAGGTCTACACAGAGAAACCCTGTCTTGAAAAAAACAAAACAAAAACAAACATCGCCCCCCCCAAAAAAATAAAACCAAAACATGGACTTGGTATGAGACAGCAGCTCCCCTCCTGGCTGTCAGTTTGAGGACACCGAAATCAAGTGAAGTATAATGAGAGCACTTGTTCACAGAAACTACAAAAGACCACCATGCATGCCCATCAGCTGGTGGCACATGTCCTAGCACTCTGGAGCCTCTGAGGCATGGCCACAAGTTCAAAGCCAGCCAGGACACTACTGACATCCACTTAAAAAGAACGAAAACGTGCCATGAAAGAAACCAATTGAATAACTACATGCCATGATTCTATATATAAATGCCATTTACATAAAATATTTCTATAGGGTCTGGAGCAATGGCTCAGTGGTTAAGAGCAGTTTCTGCTCACTATGGGATAATCAATCCTCTTGTATACTGTAAAGACTTGTCACTTGAATTGGTTTAATAGAATGCTGACTGGCCAGTGGCCAGGCAGGACGTATAGGCAGGGTGGAAAAGAGCAGAGCAGAGTCATGAGACCCCAGCCAGATGCAGGGGGACCAGGAGGTGACTGTATCATGCTAATAACGACACTGCCACATGGCGGAGTGTAAATAAGCAATATGGGTTCATTTAAAGAGTTAGCTAGTAACAAGCCTGAGCTATTGGCCTAGCATTTATAATCCATATTCAGCCTCTGAGTCGGTTTTTTGGGGACCAGGTGGACGGAACAGAAAACTTCCACCTACAACTGCTCTTACAGAGGACCCAAGTTCAGTTCCCAGCACCTACATGGCAGCTCACAATCACTGGTAACCCACTTCTAGAGAGCCATTGCCTTCTTCTGGCCTCTGTGGGAACTGCATGTGCTTGGGGCACTTTCATCATGCAGGCAGTGCCTGTGTTCTCACACACAGGTACACACACACCACACACACACACACACACACACACACACACACACAGAGAGAGAGAGAGAGAGAGAGAGAGCGCAGAGTGATAGTTACCCACGTTAAAGGAAAGCCAGTAGAGATGACTGGTCACTGATATTTCCTGCTGTGGTGATGAAAGTCATGATACTTGTATAACATCAGGAATGAAATTATAAAAACTAATGGAAAACTTGATATTTATCACAACTAAAAATATGAACACAAAAAAATTAAAAATGCCCTCAACCCAGGCATAATGGCATAGCACACACCTTTAATCCCAGCACTGAGGAGGCAGAGGAAGGTACATCTCTGAGTCTGAGGCTAGTCTGGTCTACAGAGTGAGTTCCAGGACAGCCAGAGCTTCATAATGAGATCCTGTCTTGAAATAACAACAAAATGCCCTCAAACCCATGGGCAAGACTGAATGGTAAATGTAAATATAAAATAGGTTTCCTAGCCAGGCATTGGCGCACACCTTTAATCCCAGCACTCGGGAGACTGAGGCAGGCGGATCTCTGAATTCGAGGCCAGCCTGGTGGTCTACAGAGCAAGTTCCAGGTCAGGGTCCACAGCTACACAGAGAAACCCTATCTTGAAAAACCAAAAATAAAAAATAAAAATAAAGAGCGGGGGCAGGGGGAGTTCCATCTCCACATGGAAGAACAAGAAAAAACATTTTAAAACTTACTTGTGTTGGTTACTACAGACTCTTAACTGTAAAATAGAGCAGAGCTCTCATGGCCCAGTGTCGGAACCCTCGCCTGGGCAGTGTTCACAGACCCCCGGCACTCTGGAAGACCAAAGATGGACTTTTGGAAATGGAACGGAGTAACTACAACCGGAGCTCTGAGCAGCTGAGCCTGTTTATCCCCTGGGCCACCCCAAGTTGAGGCTATACAGTTACAAGACTGAGGACTTCCAGAGATCTGTGTCGGGTCACTCTGTTGGCCACACTGTCGTCAACAAAAGGCTCCCAGTTAGAAGCATGTCCCAAGCAAACCACCTTGTGTGGCCTCTGAACTGTGTCACCCTCAGCTTCTCCAGCTTCTGAGGAGGGGATGTTATTTTTCTTTATGTTGCCTTGAGGACACACATAAGTCAGTCCCCACACTGATCCAAATGGGACACTTTCCTCATGGGAGCCAGGTGGGATGGGTCTGCCGTAGTCGGGACTGTGAGCCCAGGTCTTTCCATCCCATCTGTGTCCCACTTGGTGTTGGTCTACGACAAGGGGCACTCACACCGCAGCCACCCACAATGACAGAGCAAGGAGAGTCTGCTCCCATCTGAAAGCACACGGCGCCTCTGTCATGAGGAGTGGGTGTTCTAAACTCAGTGATGAGGCCACAGGGGAGGGGACCAGGGCAGACCCAACTGCCCCAGCCTGAACCAGATAACCTGAGCGAGTCAGAGCCGAGAACACCAGGGCCTGCTGGCTACGTGGCCAATGCTTTCCATTTTCCTGCAGCTCTGCCCTGCAGGATGCTGTGGAAGAGGCTCCTGGTGCCCCCTGATTTCCTGCTGGTGCACCCGAAACCCCCAGGGGAATCTAGTCCTGAGTCAATTTGCTTTCACAGTGTCCTCTCCTGGCTGGCTGCTGAGCAACATGAAATCTCCAGGAAAGGGCTTCTCCTCAGAGCCTCAGTAAAGTGCTTTACCCTGAGCTAACCCTAAGTTGAGCACCCAGGCATCCTGGCTGTCATTGGTGACACCGCAGGGGCACACGGCCTGAGAGGAACACTGCCGAGTCACCGGGCAACCTCGCAGGAAGAATGGCGGCCTGCTTGCCGTTCGTTGACAAGTTTTATTAGGGAGCGGGTTTGGGCCAGTTGGTGTTTGCATTGCTTGGTCCCTACAGCCCATGTATGCTGGCTATGGAGGTACAAGGTATGGAGGGGACTCACTGCCCCGCTGGTTACCGGTGATGTCACTTCAGGAAGATAGGTCTTTCTCCTGGGCTCCTGCTGTCAGAGATTCTCCACTCTCCCATCAGACCTGGCCTGGGGAGAGGAGGGGTTTTAAAATCTCCGTGTAGTAGGGACCAAAGACCTGCTGATTGTGTTGTGTGAGGCTGACAAACTTCTGGCCCAGCTCTGCCAGCTCTGCTTCGATGAGAGTGAGGCCTCCAGGAAGGTCCATCAGGGATCGCTGCACTCCAAGAACCAGGCAGCATTTGAGGAACAAATGGATCCGCTGATCTGTGGGCAGGAAGAGAAGGACCCCACTGAGGAGCTGGGGGGTCCCGCTGCCACTCAGCCACCTACAGTCTGTATTCACATGGAGGGAGCCGGAGTTGCTTGGGGAACAGCTGTCTAGTTGGCACAGGTTACTGAGCCTCTAAGTACTCAAGACCGCTTAGTATCAGGGTGTGCCTCACACCTGTAATTCCAGAATGGGGGGTGCGCATCATGTTAGGTCTAGAGGATTTGATGGTGGGGAAGAAACCGGCACTACAGACAATCACTCTAACCCAAGCCAGCTGGTTTCCGCTAGAGGGTGGTGGTGATGTCACACACACAGATTCCTCAGAAGCCTTGAGTGACTTAACCGGGTTGGGTGGACACGATTCATGCTGTGTGCAGTGAAGGACTGAAGTCTCAACCTGGAAATGCCCACATCCATGGCTGGAGCCCCTCCCTCTATCATCAGCACCACCCACGCATGGGTGCGCTCACCAATGACGCTGCGGACACAGTTCTCTTTCTTGGCAATGTTCTGGAGCTGTCCTATCAGAGACGCGGTGTTGTCACTGCTCAGAGGGCTAAGGCCCATGCTTTTAAGACTCTGGTGGATCTCCTGGGTCACCTGGTCACTCACAGTGCACATGGTCTCCTCGGGCCTAGACCACAACAGAGGTGAGCTGGCACCTAGCAGGTCCCATGGGGCCAGGGGCTGATCCCAGGCTTCTCCCTCAGTAGCTCTGTGTCTGCTTTCTCACTGAACCTAGTCAGCTTACCAGCTGACTAGGCTGGCTGATCCTGAACCCACCCCCACACTGGTGGAGTTACTGACACATGCCCCTATGTCTTGCTTCCCGTTTGTCTTTTTTGGAGACAGGGTTTCTCTATGTAGCCCTGGCTGTCCTGGAACTCGCTATGTAGACCAGGCTGGCCTCAAACTCAGAGGTCTGCCTGCCTCTGCCTCCCGAGTGCTGGGGTTAACTGGGGTTAAAGATGTGCACCACCACTGTCAGCTTATGCCTGGCTACGCCAGGTCCTCAGGCTGGCTCAGCACCTTACCTTACCCAACTGAGCTATTTCCCTAGCTCCTCCAACCTAACCCTTAAAAAAAAGATGCCTGCAGCTCACCTGGAGTTGAAATCCTCCACCAGGGACTTTGTTATTCGCTTCAGTTTATCCACAAACTGGGGCGAACCGAACAGTACGCTGCCAGAGAAGCTACTGGCCACCAGCAGGACGGATGCAAGGACGGTTAGCTGGCTTCGCTGCAACTCCAGCTCCTGCAGCCGGGCTCTGTCCATCAGCAGGGTCTGAGGAGGAAGAAGAGGCATCAGAGAGGTTTGACCAAAGCACAAAAGCTAAAACAAGAAAATGCCCCCATTCCCACCTCAGGAAACTCTTCGTCCTCTGCATCCCAGAGGAGAAGGTTCAGGAATCCCTGGGACAGCACCATCGAAGGGCTGAGTGGCTCCGGGGAATCCATGTCACTGGGAGATGGACCAGGTATACTCGACTCCAGTGTGTCATGGCACATTGCAGGCGGGCTGGAGAGGTCTGTGGCAGCCTGCATCAGCCATTTGGTGGTGTGATCGAGGAGGCCTACAACAGGAGGAAGGGCGTGCAAGCATCTTCACTTCGGCTTCAGGCCACAGTTCTCTGTAGCTAGTGCCCTTCATTGGCTCGTGTGGAGCACCATGCTGCAAGCCCTCGGGAGCTGAGGCAGGAGCATCACCATGAGTTTGGGGCTAGCCTGAGCTACACAATGAGTTTCAGAGTAGCCAAAGCTAAAGAGTGTGAGACCTTATCCCAAAAAACTAAAATCACTAAATTAAAATGCACACAGTATATGCTCCTGGTTAATCTGCCTTCTCCCTCTCAGTGTGTGGAGGCAGAATGCCCCGTGGCAAATGTCAGGTGGGAGCCCGTGGCCCGCCTCTGTACTCATGTCATACATACTAGGCTGCTTGTTGAGACGCTCCTGGAACTGGGCCCGCTCAAACTGGATGGAATGCTCCTGCATCTGGGGCTGCAGGCTCTGAATGGTATAGTTCACCATGTCCATTTTCATCAGTCCCAGCACTTGGAAGATGCCCCTAACACAGGAGAGAATAACTGTGCTACAAAAGGGACCCAACGGGAGGGAAGCCTGAGGGTGACCGAGCACTGGACTCTCCAGTCTCCTCCACTCATGGAGGGACAGGCAGCCAAGACCAAGGCCCACAGTGAGTGGTGAGTGAGGGCCAAGTCCCTCTCCCCGTGCCCTGTCTGCTGAGAGCTGGGAGTGGCAGTGCACAGCAAAGGGCCCAAGAGAGAAGCGCTATGAGTTCAAGCCCTCTGAGGGCTACATGGCAAGACCCTATGGCAGAAACATACGGGCACACAGAAGGCCAAAGAACGCGAGGGGTGCTGTGTTTCTGAAGTTTAACTTGATCAACACACTTCCTAAATGCCTCACATCAGAAGGAGACACACTGCTGTCCCTACTGTGTGTGAACTGAGACCAGAGAAAAGTTGGGCGGGGACGTTTTCACGCCTTGGAATTCTACAGCAGTGTCTTAAGACAAAGGTCCACTCTGGAAATGTGAAAACCAACATGTCACGGAGCAGCAGGGTGTCAGGTCATCTTCAGCAGGCAGGCAGTCCCGGTGTCTGCCAGCCCTGCCCAGCTCAGGGCCGGGGGAGGTCAGGTGACCAGTAACTGAGTGTCACACCTCAGTAGCCGCACGGGGTCCGTGATGTTCTCCAGTCTCTGCACGGCTTCGTCTCGGACTGGTGCACACAGCAAGACCATCATGTTGAGAATGTACTTAGAGAGATAGGTGACATTCAGGTCCCCACGGTCAGCTTGCTGATGGAGGAAGTCCATGTCTAGAGCCTCTTCGATCTCACTTCTTAGGCGGTTCTGACGTGGTAACAGCAGCGACAACAGGATCTGCCAGGCAGACATGTTCTACTGAATACTGTCTTAGCTTGTGTTAAATCAGTTACAGAGTCAGATAAAGAGATCAAAGAGCTCCCTGAACACAGGCAGCGCTGGGCTGAGAGCACTGAGGTTCAGTTTCCAGCACCCAGAAGGTGCTCACAGCCATCTTTAATTCTAGACCAGGGGCTCTGGTTAATCTGCCTTCTCCCTCTCAGTGTGTGGTGGCAAATGGCCTCATCTGGCCTCCCTGGGCACTGCATGCACAGGGTGCACAGATAACACTCACAGGCAAAACAACAACACATAAAAATACTCCTATTAATTAACTGATTGGTTTGTTGTGTTTTTTTTTTTTTCAAGACAGGGTTTCTCTGTATAGCCCTGGCTGTCCTGAAACTCGCTTTGTAGATCAGGTTGGCCTTGAACTCAGAGATCTGCCTGCCTCTGCCTCCCAAGAGCTGGAAATAAAAAGAAATCTTAATTTAAAAAGAATCAGAAAATATACTCTTAATTTAATAAGGTTTTTTTTTTTAACTATTCCAGAGGGAGAAGACAGAGATCAGAAGAGCTATAATGGGGTCTCTGACCCCCAAACATGACCTCCTGGTAAGAGGTTCTTATTTATCCCCGTCTCCAGCACACACACAACACATGGAGTGAGGACGGAACCCTGACTATTTAACTGAATCAAATACTCCATTGTCTCAGAACCCAGCTGTCAGCTCCATGTGGTACCAGACAAGACTGCTTCATGAGCCCCTTTTCAGTTGGTGAGCTTTTAAACCTCAGAGCTTCCTTGTTTCCAATATGCCCTTCAGTGCCTGTCCTGAACACAGACGGATGGACAGGCGTGCACGCGCACATGCACGTGCACACACACACACACACACTCACACAGCGTCTCCGAACACCCACCACAAATAAAAAGCACATTATTAACTTTTTTTTTTTTTTGACTTTCAAGGCAGAGAACACCACACAGCTTGATGCTGTAGCTCACTCAGAACTTTTCTATCTGATGTTCTAGGTTCTCCAGACTTCTTTACTGTTAGCCATGACTTCCCCTTTCCAGCCCCCGGCTGTAGTCCCTGTTTGAATTACTCAGTGGTTAATCTTGTCTAGTCACCTTGGCGATTCCGATTTGCAGCCCCTGCCTACTGGTGCTCTCAGTCTAGGCCTTGGGACTCTCACTCACCTCCCTGACCTCTTTCAGAAGTTCAAGAGCACAGCTGAAGTCAGGGGGCACAGACGACAGCTGCTCTTTCAGGTGGTCCCAAAAGTCACTGGGCATTGTCTCCTTGCCCTTGCCTTCCAGGCTACAAGAGGGTCAAACACACAGGTGAGAAACTGTTCCAGGCTCAGCACCTAAGCCCCAAAGAAAACACCAGGAGCAATGGAAGGAGCACAGCAGGGATGACTCACTGAAGGCTAGGAATGACTTCAAGGCACCCTCAAAAGCAGAAACAAGCCTGAGTGTAGCAGTGAGTCTTCCCTATTCCGTGTGAGTGAGTGTGAGTGTGAGTGTGAGTGTGAGTGTGTGTGTGTGTGTGTGTGTGTGTGTGTGTGTGTGTGTGCCATCACACAACACTGAGTTTATTAATAGTTGCGGTGATTTGAAAGAAAATGGCCCCCAGAGGGAGTGGCATTAGGAGGTGTGGCTTTGTTGGAGTAGATGTGGTCTTTTGGAGGAAGTGTGTCACTGTAGGGGCGGGCTCTGAGGTCTCCTTTGCTCAAGCTTTACTTTTATTCAGCATGATACTCAGACCACTTCCGGTTTCCTGCAGATCAAAGATGTGGGACTCTCGGCTCCCCTGATGTGTCTGCCTGCACACCACCACATTTGACCGTGATGGCGATGGATAAGCCTTTGAAACTGTGAGCCACCCCAATCAAATGTCTTTCCTTTATAAGAGTTGCCATGGTCATGGTGTCTCTTCACAGCAATGAACACCCTGACTTAGATGTTTTTACTTATTGACTGGGAAGCGCCACATGGGGGTCCCAGGAATTAAACTTGGGTTGTCAGGGTTAGCAGCAACTGTCTCCTGCCCATGGTGTCACAGAACCCTTCCAGGAAGTCAATTAGAGAAAATATAAAAGCCAACACCTGCTCGAAGATAAAGTCTTCTCTTCCGAGTGGCCATCAGCCTTGGAAACATCATGAACTCTCTCCACCAGCCCTGTAATTGAAAGAACTTCTAGTGGAGCTGAGTGGTGGCGGTGCACGCTTTTAACCCCCACACCTACAGGCACAGGCAGGCAGATCTGTGAGTTCAAGGCCAGCCTGGTCTACAGAGTGAGGTCCAGGACAGCCAGGGCTACACAGAGAAACCCTGTCTCTAAAATTAAAACAAACTAAAACCCGAACAAAGCTACAAAGAAACAACTTGTGGTTTGCAAAAACAAACGGTTTTCTTCTTGTGCCTCTGGTAGCCCAGCAGAGCCAGTCCTCCCTACAGGTGTGGGACCCCAACATGGTTTGGTTTTCTAAGACAGTAGTTCCCCCATTTGGGGTTCACAGACTAGTAAAATTTCTAAGAAGATTTTAAGATTAAAGATCACTTGCCAATTCTCTGTGTTGTCAAGAGACAACATGGACAAGAAAAAAATTCTACCCTATGACTTCCCAGACCTAGGCCTATATCAAATGAAGGAGAACAGAAAACAGAGCCTCGGGGTGCTGGCCGCACTTTTGTAAAGATAATTCTTTTAAAATGGTTACTATTGCACAGCACCGTGTGTGTGTGTGTGTGTGTGTGTGTGTGTGTGCGTGTGTGCGTGCATGTGTGTGGGGGGGGCAGAGGTCAGCGGTGAGGTGGGGTCCTGCCTCCCACCTTCCCGGGGTGCCTGGAATCCAGCTCAGACTTGTATTGAGAGCTCAACCGCTGAGCTGTCTCACAGGCCTGGAAAGGTAGAATTTTTTTTTTCTATACTGAAAGATTAAAAATGCAAGAACTAAATAACTGTAGAGGAGATTACATGGGACAATGTCTCCTCTCTTAGAAACATGGCAGAACTTTTTAAAGTCACAACCGTAGCCTTCAGATAGTAAAGGCAGCACCGAGTATCAACAACTCGGAGAGTCACTAGACTGTATTTTGCAACAACTCTGAACTATCTCAAAATAAGAAAGGTGACTGCGGACTCTTCACAGAAAATCCAGAGTCCTAGTCTAGGTTCTAAGAAGGTAAGAAGCTGGCGAGGGGAGTGGCCGTTTAGTCCACTGGCTTCCTTCCCTAAGAGCTGGGGTCCATTCCTTGTTCACAAACATCTCTAACGCCCTCTTCTGGCCCCGAACCAGCATGAGCAGGCAAAACACCCGCACGCATAAATAAAAATAAGTATCTTTTTACAAAAACAAGGTGAGCTGATGCGGCCGGCCGCTCTGAATTACTCCGGCCACGGTGGCTGGCTCAAGCTAATCAACTGTGTAAACACAGCCGCGATTAACTCAGCACTCAACCAGAGTTAAAAGGACCTTC